CTCTTCCACCACGACCACGTTAGTAGATTCTTTTCTTCTTTTTTTTTCTTCTAATGTTTGCATCATTTCGATCATTCATTTTAGGTGACGTCATCATCGAACGTTGGATTCCATATGGACCTCAAGCTAAACGACGTACTCTTCTTCATCGTGCTCCTCCTCCTGCACCATACCCAGCTCCACGCAATATTATCATTCAATACGAACAAGCACCAGTTCGTATTGTTCGTCAATTCCAACGTCTTGGTGTTGTTGCAGCTAGTCCAGCTGCTTACGTTCAAACATATGGTGCTAGCCTTCTTGATGGTGCTTCACTCGTTGCAACAGCTCGTTCTGCTGGTGTTGTTGAAGATATCGTATGTTTATTATAGTATTCTTATTTTTTATTCTAAAAAATAACCGTCTTTTTCTGTTTGTAGTCAGCACCTGGTTTTGTTGGTTATAGTGCTGCCGCATACGGTCAAGAATCATGGGGTGCCGCATCAGGCTTAGCTGGTGGTGTTGGTCTTGTTGCTGGAGGTGCTGAAGTTGCTGATGCTGGTCTTGTTGTTGGTGGTGGACTCGCTTCATCAGGATTATATGAATCATCAGGCTGGGCAGCAGGTGGCGCTAGTGGTTGGGAAGGTGGTGTCGTTGGTGGTGGTCTTGGTGCTGGTTGGAATGGTGGTGTCGTTGCTGGTGGTCTTGGTGCTGGTTGGAATGGTGGATTATTGGGATCAGCTGCTGTTGTTAATGGAGCTGATGCTGCTTTCCTTAATGCTGATACCGACTATAATGGCAGCCTTGACCGAGCAGAATTCCGCAACCTTCTTGGTAAGTTTTTGTCCAAATGGATTTTATTATTTTATTGATGTCATAACTAAATTGTGTTCATCTATTTTTAGCTCAAAATCTTTAAGAACTTACTGCTACATGCTCATACGAAACATACACTTCATCTGTTATCTATTAAACAATCAAATGAGCTTTTTTTTTTGTTTTCGTTTTACTTTTGTTAAGCGCTTGGTTTTATGTGAATCGACATCAGCAGTTTTTTTTTCTGCATTGTTTTGTCGTTATGATATAGTTCTTGATTTTGATCTTAGTTAATATAATATAATAGTTGACGAACAAAAAATAAATTATCTTTATTGGATCTATTCATATAAACTGACAGATAATTAGCTCAAGATATATTGTCAACGGCATCATGTATAACTATTTTTGAAGCTAAAATATAACGCATCTCGATATTATTTGAAGATTTTAAGAATGAAAGTAGCTAACAATCTGTGTTTTTCTCACCATTCGAAACAGAAATGTGCAAGATATAAAATTGTGCTCAATTTTCTGAACGATGTATTATTCAAGCTAGTGAGTTGTTTATGTATTTTTTTCAAACGAGAACATTTTGAAATAATTAGAAAGATAAAATCTTGAAAGTATTCCCTCTGATGTTAAAAATTTTTTATCGACTGAATAACAAAAATCAAGATCTAATCACTGACAACCTTATTGAAAATAAAAATAATTACTATTATGAAACTGGATGTAGACAAATACATTAAATTAAATAATCATTATAGTGATTATTGATCAGTTGATTGATTTTAAAACTCCCAAACGTTTGAAATTTCTCAATGGAATTAGTTAGAATAGGTAGTCAAAAACTTTTCTTGAAAATCTATAGCAAAATTCAATGATTTAACCGATGTATTGTCTAGATAAATCCGTAAACTTTCACTTTCCGCATATTTATACAACTAATATATTCAATGTACAATCACTAAGTACAGCTTTATTCAATTCAAAAATAAATGTCTACAAATTTTCGAACAGAAAATCATAAAATTTCGACCAAAACCAAAAAAACTTTTAAGTGCGGTGATGTTTTGAAAGTTTTTTTCCTGAAGAATTCTTCACAGAGGAAGAAACGTAGATGAGCAAGTGTTCACCAACAGACAGATGTTACTGTACTATTTTTTTCATGTGAAAGATGGACATTAGAGTAATTAATATAAATAATAAAAAGCACGTGTTATGAAATATGATATTATCTGATATTATTTTTTTTTTACCTTAAAAGAACAAAAAAATGCTCTTTGTATTATTCAGTACAGAATACAGTGACATAATAATCATCATAGATGATTATATTTAGCTGTATTTAGTAAATGCACAGTTTGAAAAACATAACAAAAAAAAATCTATATAAAGATATGATCATAATGTTGTCTAAATTCTGTCTGGTTCCTACTTTAACAATATAATATGTAGATATATAAATAGCATGTACTAAATTTTTCACAATAATACCATAAAGATAATAATTAAATTCTAATACATATTCTTTTTTTTTTTCGTATATCTAAATCTTAATTCATTCAACAGTATCTCTTTATATATTCAATTTGATAATCGTTTTCCAAACATGTTCGAATTGATATTAAAAACTTAATTTCAAAAAATTTTTTTTTTTTTTCTATTGTTAATCATGATAAATTATTTTCATTTATTTGTCTTTCAATTCATATACGTTTATTTTAGTTGAGTGAATATAGGTGATGTGTGCATATAAATAGTAGCATAAGAAGATGATTTATCTAAGTTTATTTTTGATTCTTCAATAAAAAAAAAAAAAAAAAACTACAATCAATTTGATGTTAATAATGAAGAATTGTTGTTGAACATAAATGGTTCATTTTGTTTTACTTCAAGCTAAAAAAAAAAAAAGAAATTTTATTTAGATTTTATCTATGTTATGCTTCATTGTATTGTCGATTAAAAGCAATTATTTTATCATATTATTCAAAAGTAATTAAACGAATGATATTATGAATGTAAGGTGTTATATTTAAACATTGTTGATTAGTTAAATATTTACTTAAGCAAGTTAACATGACACCAAAGACTAAGAAAAGATTAAAAAAAAAGTTTGATTATATTATCAATGACGTAAATGTAGAAGAACAACTAAATCGTACCTATGACTAAGCTTACAGCGTGTAAATCAATTAGAATGACCTTCAAATAAATAAAGATGTATAGAGTCAAATTTTTATTAATCAGTAAAACTTTGAAAAACTAACTTCAATCGTATCGTACATTTTATATTTAAACAATTTTAAAAGATTTTTGTAACTTCTATTATGATTTCCATGAAAAGAACATTGAATGTCAGAGATGTACATGTGAACTATTGTCTCCTTATGGATATTTATGAATGCATCTATTAATACTGAGATTTGCAGAAAAACGTTAAAAATCAAAATATGAGACATAAAAACAAATGTGACAAATCGAATTGGGTCTCTGAAAGACTCTAAACCGTTCTATTTTCTAGACATATTATAGTCAGTATACCAACACGATCAAAACTTAAAAATAAGATATTCATTCGCGATACTTTTTTCACTCTCATTCCTCCATTATAGAATCGATTCTGTTCCTATAAACTTATAAAAGATTCAAGTTACTTTTAAAAAATTTCGTCAACAAATAATTTTGTTCTGTTTTAATTGAATGCACGGATGACAATTTCTTTCAGAGTCCTAGTGGAAGAATCGTTCAAAAAACGACGTCCACCTCATCATGTTTGAGAACGCTGCAATGCGTGTAAGTAAGATGTCATTTAGACATATACACACGTACGTGTTATAGTTACAGCTTGTAAAAATTTAGGTAAAATAATAATCAAAAAATTCAATTCAACATCTTTTCACCAACATCAAAACATTTTTCAGAAATAAATTGACAGAATTAAATATTGTATCGAATATGATGTGGAAAACTTCGAAACTTTACCATAAAAAGATTATCAAAATATTTGTTTTATGAATACATATTCGAAAATGCCAGAATTTTTGATCAGTTTATGTATATTTTTTTAGTTGACATTGTTCTATCATTTGAGGAAAAAAACAAGTTTGATAAATCGTTGAATGTCTTCAACAAATTTATTTATTGCTAGTTTATTCTATTATGTTCGTTTGCTTGAGTATGTATTTCCATTAATCAAATTTTTTTTTGCTAGAATTAAACTCTACTTGTGGTTGTTGACTTACGAATGAAAATAGTTATTATCAAGATAAATATTGTTTACAATTAACTATTTGAATGCATTAAAACAAAAAAAAATGAAATTAAGACATTATATCATCACAATCAATCCCAAAGAAAACACAGTTGATTCTAGAAAGTTTCATTATTTGAATTATATTCATTTCTTTTAACCAATTGCTAGTGAACATTTGAGTGACTTTTTCAGTGGTTATACTAAAACTGCATATTTAAAATTAAATATGAGCGTGCACTCTTTATCAAAAGTATACTATTAGATATTTTTATTCGAATCATACAGTTTATTTCAACCATTCACTGCAAGCCACATGTTCAGGTAAGAAAGTGAATCATTGCTTTCTTTATCCTAGTCAACTATTATTTTGAAAAGAAAACACTGTTGCTTTGCTTTTCATATGTGGTTTTTTTTCAAAGATTTTTTTGAGAGAATTATGGTTCATATTAAACAGCTTATCTTTTTGTATAAAAATAAATTTATTCATATAAAATTTCAACTATTCTATAAACTTTGAATCAAATTAAAATGAAATCATTGTTGTTATTCAATACAGTTTGCTAAACAAAAAAATAATGATTGTTATTTTTCTGCGTCACTTTTTTTTTTTTCTTATTATACATTCAACATTGTTTATCAATACATAGTTTCGCACTGTACCCCCCCCCCCCCCAATATTATGGCTTTTTTTGCCTATCGCATTTTGTTTTGGTGGACTAATCATTATTTTATGTACACAAACAAGAAGCTTGGCAAGCAAAACTATGGTGGGCTCAAGCAAAAAAAATACTGTTGTTTGCCCTTTTCTTTGTCTCTCTCCTCTGCTTCATGTTCATCCATGCATGATCGATTGGTCCTATATAAACATTGATCTACTGGTAGCTTTTCTTCACTTCTAACTTTTACCGGTAATTGCTCTATTCACATTAACAGTATACAAACGATCATGACTGCTGCTGACGCTGTCTTCAATCAAATCGATCTTAACCAAGATGGACGTGTAGATCTTGGTGAATACCGTAACTTCGTTGGTAAGTTGATATATTTTAAATTATTGTGTATATATTAATTGATGATAATCGTTGCATTTTGAAGGTCAAAACCTTGGTGTTGGTTGGAATGGCGGTTGGAATGGTGGTTGGAATGGTGGTTGGAATGGTGGTTGGGGTGCTGGTTGGAATGGTGGTTGGGGTACTGGTGCTGCTCTTGGTGGTGTTTATGATTCCTCAGTTGTTCTTGGTGGTGGTGTTGTTGACGCTGGTCTTGCTGGTGGTGTTGTTGACGCTGGTCTTGCTGGTGGTTACCAAACAGTCGTAGGCGGTGCTGGATATGTTGGTGATGCTAATGTTGTTCTTGGTGGATCAGTTTATGATTCAGCAGCATTAGCAGCTTCTCAAGTTCAATATGCTGCTAATGCGCAAGGTGTCTACCAAGATCCAAATCCACAAATTATTCGTCGTCCAAATCCAAATGGTGTACAAACATACACACAAAATGTTCGAGTTCAATTCCTTCAACCACCACCTGTTCCACCACCAGGCGTAAGTCATTTCTATCAATCATCATGATCTATATCATAATATCTAATCCTTTTTTTTTCTTTTAGCCACTCATCATCAAAGAAGTTCGTCCACCTCAACCACCTCTTCCACCACCACTTCGTCTTCGTCAAGTAGCTCCACCTCTTCCTCCACCACCTCCACTTGTTCTCCGTGAACGACCACCAATACCACCACCAGTCATTCCATCTCAAACAGTCATTCGTCGTTTGGCTGGTTTACCAGTTCCACCACGATCGGTCATCGTTGAACGTGTTCCACCTCCTCCACCACGACCACGTTAGTAATTTATTTTTCTTTTCTTTCTCGTGTTGTTATTATATTATTCATTGATTTTAGGTGACGTCCTCCTTGAACGTTGGATTCCATATGGACCTCAACCAAGACGCCGTACCCTTCTTCAACGTGCTCCTCTTCCATTACCATACCCAGCTCCACGCAATGTTATCATTCAATACGAACAAGCTCCAGCTCGCGTTGTTCGTAACTTCCAACGCCTTGGTGTTAGTGCAGCTAGTCCAGCTGCTTACGTTCAAACATATGGTGCTAGCCTTCTTGATGGTTCTTCACTCGTTGCAACAGCTCGTTCTGCTGGTGTTGTTGAAGATATTGTATGTTTATAATAATGTTCTTATTTTTTATTTAAAAAAAACCGTCTTTTTCTCTTTGTAGTCAGCACCTGGTTATGTCGGCTATGGTCTTGGTGCCTATGGTCAAGAATGGAGTGCCGCATCCGGTTTAGTAGGTGGTACTGGTCTTTATACTGGAGGTGTTGATGTTGTTGATGGTGGTCTTGCTCTTGCTGGTTGGAACGGCAATCTTGCCGGTTGGAACGGCAATCTTGCCGGTTGGAACGGCAATCTTGCTGGTTGGAACGGCAATCTTGCTGGTTGGAACGGCGGTCTTGTTGGTTGGAATGACGGCCTTGCTGGTTGGAACGGCAATCTTGCTGGTTGGAACGGCAATCTTGCTGGTTGGAATGGCAATCTTGCTGGTTGGAATGGTGGATTATTGGGATCAGCTGCTGTTGTTAATGGAGCTGATGCTGCTTTCCTTAATGCTGATACCGATTATAACGGCAGCCTTGACCGAAATGAATTTCGCAATCTTCTCGGTAAGTGTTTATTCGAATGAACTTTATAATTTTATTGATATCATAATTGAATTGTATTCATCTATTTCTAGCTCAAAATCTTTAAACACCCACTGGTACATCATCATACGAAACATACATTTCAATTATTTCCTATGAAACAATTAAAAATGGCAGACCCTAAATTGCAATAGTTATAGAGTAGAAGATATTTTATTATATTTGCTTTAATGTAGTTTATTTTTATTTCGCTTCTATATTTCTAAAATGCTTACGCTTATTTAATTATTGTAGTTTATTCTTTTTTCTCTGTATTGTTTCGATATGATAACGTGATTTAAAATCATGATTTTGCTAAATATAAAATATAATTTGAGGAGAACAAAAAAATATCATGTTTATCTGCTCTATTCAACAAGGACTAAAGAATTGGAAGAGAAAGCTTGTCAACGCAGTTCTTTAAGATTCAAATATTGATCTAATGTATTTCGTCTAAACTGAAACATTATTTGAATATTTCAAGAACAAAACGAGCCGGCAATATGCGGTTTTAACAATTTAAAATAGAAATATACGAGAAGTGAAAATGTTTCTAATCACATGTACTATGTATTAGTCAAGTTAGTGAGGTTCTGACTAAAACATTTGGAAAAAAAACTTTCATAAGTAACTATTACTTCTAGTGTAGGGCTATCAATCTATACAAGAAAAAATCTTCTGACTCTTTCCAAGCAGAGTGATAAACGCTTTATTGGAAGCCTTGAAATCTATCAACTCAACAATGGTCACTGTAATCTGTATTGTCTTTGATGTACTTGACTAAGCTTGGCACTATAGTGGATTTGTTTTTAGCTTTGAAACAATTTAACGTTGAAAGGAAAAACTCTTGAATATATTTAATCTAACTTCAAAAGTTTTTTTTTATAGACTGAATAACAAAAATCATGATCTATATTGGAACTAAAAACAAATACTATCACTTGACTCAGCATCGACAAATACACAATACTCAATACAGTTTAGAATGACTATTGGTTAGTTAGCAGATTTCAAGGTCTCCAGCGAAACGTTTATAATTCCGGAATGGAATAAGCGAGGAGAGGTGTTCTTGTGTAGATCTACATAGAAGTGCCTTCGCCATTGATGTTCTGATGTGAAATCTGATAGTTGTCAGTAAAGTTTCACTTTCCAAATATTTCTCTTTCACTTACTAAAAAGAGCAGGTTTCTAATTACTTCTATTCTCGAGATATTACCAATATCGATATATATTATCATTTAACGGTTACAATAATTGATTAAAGAAATTAACATGAAACGTAATGTTTTTTTTGAACATCGTATTCTTTAGACAAGTAGAATCACAGAGAATATCAGACTAAGATTCTATCATATAGTCTTACTGTATCAAATACCTATGAAGTGTTTTCAAAGTGTTCACTAAACGATAGTATGTTCACTTTTGATATGTTTTAGATATTTTATTTTATGACAGTTCTTATAGCTGCTAAAGTCTCTCACGTTTTTTTAAATATTTACGTAACTGGTTTTGAAGTATTAACGTGTACTGAGAATATCGTCTCTTAAATGGTCAGTTGCATCATTAATAGACATAAGATTCATATGCTCCTCTTAGAATTTTACACTTATCATTCGTATGCTCTTTTTCTGTTCCTTCTTAATAATATTTTTCTATATAGTCAATTATATATAACTGGTCTATTCATTTGCACAATTACTGAGGACAGATCTATCCAATGAAAAAATAAATTGCTAAAAGGTCTCGAACGGAAAAATCTAAAACATGAAAAATACTACGACTAATAAGTTAAAAAAGGAAAAGTTCCAGAAAATGACGAGTTTCAATAAAAAAATTTCAGAATAATAATTTTTCGTAGGTTTTTTTGTCGATAGATTCTTCACTTATGGAAGGTTCAGAATAAAATGTGTATCGTATAGAATAGAAGGGTGTCCATAACAAGAAGATATGACTGTATTTATGTGTTTCATATGAAACATTTATATTAGAGCAATTAATGTATACTATAAACAACACGTGTTATGAAGTATAATATTACTTAATGTTGTTTTTTTTTATCCATCTCCAACGAAAAAACAATATTTTTCATATTATTTAGTTCGGGAGATGGTATGAAAATAATAATTATAGATTTTTCTTTGGATCTAAACTTCGTCTGATCTTATTTTAACATAAGAATATATGGATGTATTATTAACATGTGTTAAATTTGCTCGAATAAGGTTATCTAAATGATAATCAAATTCTAATACACATTTTTTTTTGTTCGTATCTCTTAATCGAAATGCATTCAATGATATTTGTTTATATGTTCGTCTTGATACTATTTGTAACCAGAACTAGGAAAGTATGCACTTTCTTGAGTGCGAATACTGACTCTTTGAGTAAGGGTACGAGTAGCAACGTTCCGAATACACTATAGTAAAAAGACTGTTAATGCAATCCCTGTGGGATTAATGTGGAGAATACAATGTAACTACTCTTCTTCTTCTCAAAGCCTTTGTTTTAATTCATCTGTTTTGCAATAACTAAGTCACGCTTTTACTGAGTTTTTCAGAAATGAAATAAAAAAAAGGAGACTATAGATTATGATAATGCGATCTTGATATATGGTCTTCGGTTGTGTATCAAGACTGTCTTGCACAACTTGCAACAAGATTCCAGTTTGTTTGTCACATTCATTAAAAAAGACGTTATTAATGGAATATTAATGCAATATTAATTAGATATCAATTAATTAATTACTCAGTTAATAAAATTTTCTTTCACAATCTGTAGAGGAAAAGGAAGGGATCAAGAGGCTTTGCCATTGATCGGATCAGTCTAGGTTTTTCAAACGACCGATGCCAGTATAAAAAAATTCAGACCGAAGCAAATCAGCAAGACTAATAGTAATAAACCGGTCTACAATTATTTACCAGTGTATCGATAATTGTTGATCTACCAGTAATAGATTATTGTCGCTATGATATTTTGTTTCTATTGACATCTCGCAAGTGATCAACTTAGATCATGAATCTAAAATATCTGAACATTTTTATGATAACATTCAATAAGCAGTTTTCTTAAAAAAAATAACAGTGATCAAAATATCAATGCCTTATAGAGAGTGATCCATAAGTCTTGGGCACTCTCAGAAAAATTTCTATTTCTCTCTTTTAAAAAATTCAAAAAAGCTCAAACATTGGTATATAATCTCTTGTAACATGACGAATATTATCCTAAATTTTCATGTCTATATCTCTACAAGTAAGGGGATATATAGTTTAACATTCTAGAAAATTTTTTTTTTGATGTCCTAAAAACCATAAATCACCAAGAATTTGCATGAAAACAACAAGAAAAATTCACAAATAATACTACTATATTAAATACATACTAGAAGAATTATGCGGAATATATTTACGTCACAATATTTATTAAATGTCTATAGTCTATTTAGATAATCGCCTTCAATACTGATTGGTTCTAATTAGACTTATGAGCATCATTCGTTATTTGTTTTTGAGAAATTTTCATCAACATTTTCCATTTTTCGATATTTCTCTGGTTATCTTACATTTCGACATTTTATCTGTCAATGTTTTGCTTCAATTCTACTGTTTTTATCAAATATTTATGTCCCATAAATATACTAAGTTGATAGAACAAATTTAACATTACATGATTTATATAAAAGATGGTGATAAGTCTAATTAGAACCAATCAGTATTGAAGGCGATTATCTAAATAGACTATAGAAATTTAATTATTATTCTGATGTAAATATATCCCGCATAATTCTTCTAGTATGTATTTAATATAGTAGCATTATCTGTGAATTTTTCTTGTTGTTTTCATGCAAATCCTTGATGATTTGTGGTTTTTAGGACATCGGAAAAAAAATTTCTAGAATGTTAACCTATATATCTCCCTTACTTGTAGAGATATAGACATGAAAATTTAGGATAATATTCGTCATGTTACAAGAGATTATATACCAAATTTTGAGCTTTTTTGGATTTTTTATAAGGGAGAAATAGCAATTTTTTTGAGAGTGCCCAAGACTTATGGATCACCCTTTAACCCAGACGGAGAACTTGTAGGTCTCTTATCCTACCATTAGACTATACTGGTTTCATTAAGTGTCAAGTGAAATATATTCGATTCTACAACATCAGTTCATCATTCATTTTCTTTTTTTTTTGTCTGAATTTACAAAAAGCTGTTATGAAGATTGGTTATCATTTATCCTTTCATATTCCAAAACAAAACTAGATAATTCAAACAGTTGCCATATAAGTATAACAATGATTGTATCTCAGCTTTGATTCTATTTTATATATGTATGTTGTGCTTGTCACGTATATGTCATAGTAGTAAAAAAAGAAAGGAAGAAGAGAACAATTATTTTACTGGTAAATCATTCAATATATTGATATTGTAATTATTTAGCTTACTGATCATGGAAATCTATGGCATATAAACTAGGGTTCTTATGCTTATAAAGAGCAATTCATTTTGAGTATGCTACAATTGTCTACTTAAGTTCAATTTGTATGTCTAATGTTATTGGTTTTTCTACAGAAACTTTGTCAAAGTTTTCGATCGTTGACCTTTCGTAACTATATTCACTTTTGTTTTTTCATACTGTTATTAAAAATTTATTGTTAACTTTGAATATTATATATTGACTCGTAAATATATCATAAAAATCATTACAATTAATTGTATTAGCACTATTTCTACTACAAAAAAAAATTGAATATCACATGATTCAAATAATTTGATTTTAGTTAATCAATAACCTTATATTTAGACTCATCCTCCAACTCTTAATAACTATTAAATCACATACTAAGTCGATAAAAGCATGCTTGTAAACGATCGTAGATCTTCATATATGGATATGGTAATGTGTAGTGTTGTTCACAGCTGAGATATATATTCACATCCTCAGTTCTTCTTAATTAACGTGATAAAATTCCCAATTTCTTCAATAGGTAGAAATTCATTCGCCCTGTCTATTGAGATTCAGTCTAGTTCAATCCTCAAGCGCACATAAAAGTGCCCAAAAGACGACAAGTC